AACTGTTCTGGAACAGTGTTGTAAATACAACTTAACCACTGATTTCTAGTTGTGTCCTCTTTTGGAAGGCCAAACAAAGTTTTTTCGCTTTCGCAATGAAACACACAGCATCTTCACAGCATGGCGGTGGTGGTGGCAGCAACAATAAAGTTACGCCTTCTTTCTTTGCGTGAACATTTGGGCGGCGTTATGTAAATCTTCCCACACAGTGACGTAGACATGTGGGGGCGTGTTTGAACGAGGCGTTTTAGGAGGGCGTGGACGCGTCTTAACTTTTATAAAGAATATCTCTTTGGGTTTGAGACTTTAGTCTTTGCAACTTTAGGGATCTTATCTATTCACGAACAGCTTGTAACACTCCAAAGAGAAAGGAAAACTTGAAATCGCATCATATGACCCCTTTAAAAAATTTGGCCACGATTTACCTAAAATAAGGTGACAAATTGAAAAACTGAAATAAAAATTAATACAAATTTGTACACATTGTAGACATTAAAAACAATAAAATAGTCATAGTAAAATAGTTGTTTTTTTTCCCCTTTCTTGACAATTGTAATACCCTGACATTTTGGACTTTTGAAAAAAAAAAATATTAAAATGAATTTTATTTTAAGATGAATTGTATTTTGAAAAGGTTCAGATTTTAAAAATGGGTGCAAACACAGTGCTGGTTAGGTCTTGGCACTTGCAACTTTTTGCAGAATTCCATTCATGTCAGAAACAGGTGAAGGTCAGTAAACACTTCTGCTCTGCATCTCTTACTGATCCCTACAGGATGATAAAAGTAAAGGTACATAACTCCACTCCATCTCTTGCAATAATTCATAATGCAACATATTTTCCCATTGCTGCTCAAAATACAATCTTCACTGAAAGTGAACACAGAACCTTCCAGCCTGGAAATCAAACCGAACAAATAAACAGTGTTTGAAGTCCACATGAGCAGCAGCGTCTCCATGCTTTCTGAATACAAACTCCACTGCAATGGCTGAAAAAAAAACTTGAAACAACAAAGTGTTTAGAAAATTTGGGCATTCAAAGACTTCATCTGCAGCTGTGTCAATAATAATTAATCCATCTGAACCGTTCTCATTGTAAAACGAGTCTTGCACAGACAAACATACATAATGAGTTCATCTAACCTACACTTGTAATCTTTTTTATTGTGTCTTACTTGGAAGGAAAATCCCTAATATAACAAAACTTATCTGATAGAAAAATAATAATAGGGTGAATCTCACAAAAATATGTCTGGGTCACATTTCAGCCCAAAATCAGAAGAAAATAAATAATACTCTTTATTTTCTATCAAGAAAACATCTTAGGAACACTAATATTTTTGCATTGTGACATTAGTTTTATGCAGAGTTTACACACAGTTCTCATTACTATAATGTGCCTGGATGGTTTACTTTTTAGGTTATTTATGGATTGATTGTAATATTTTCAATAATGATTGCTTTGAAGAAAACTTATTTTAGGAACACTGATGTTTTTGTAATTAATTACTCACCCTCATGTCGTTTCAAACCTTGTAAGACCTTCGTTCATCTTCGGAACAAAAATTCCGACAATAATCAGAAACAATTCGTCTCCTCCGCATCACCCTGGTGTCATTTTGGAGAATATCCGCTGGACGTAAACGTTCGTATGCTGTTCTGTGTCAGCTGCGTCACGCCAGATCTGTTTCCTACGTTGTTGTGATTTGATCTGAACGGAAACAGTGTATCCGTGTGGCACAGCTGACAGAACAGCATATGAACGTTTACGTCCAGCGGATATTCTCCAAATTGGCACCAGGGTGATGCGGAGGAGACGAATTGTTTAATAAAGTCGTTTTTTTTTTCCTTTCTTTTGCACACAAAAAGTATTCTTGTGGCTTCGTATAATTGCGGATGAACCACTGATGTCACATGGATTATTTTACAGATCTCCTTGCTACGTTTCTGGACTTGTGAACATTTCAGTTGCGTTACTGTCTATGGGAGGGTCAGACAGCTCTCAGATTCCATCAAAAATATCTTCATTTGTGTTCCGAAGATGAACGAAGGTCTTACGGGTTTGAAACGACATGAGGGTGAGTAATTAATGACAGAATTTTCATTTTTGGGTGAACTAACCCTTTAAGAAAGAAAGCATTCTTAGTTTAAGAAAACTAATAAGTAATTCACAATATTCTAAATAACTGTACATTTCTACGAATTAATATAGTTCACAATAATATTACATTTTAAATAATTTTAATTAATTTATTTAACTTAAAAAATAATGCCACAATGCAAATTTTCATGTAATAAAAATTGTAATTGTTCTTTTTTTTTCTTTTGATTTTGAGCTTGAAAAATGACCAAGACATTCTTGACAGATTGTCAATAATAATTAATATTTTGTCAATAACAATAAAATATTAATAAAACAAAAATGAAATATGAATAAAAAAATCATTAATAAAATAATAATTACCAAAAAAATTATAAATTTACTAAGATTTATACTCGAAACAAGTGAAATAAATATAACTTTTTCATTTTTGAATTTTAGGTAAATTTGTTGTGTTTTAAGAGTAATTCTACACTTTAAAAAACAAACAAAAAAAACGTTTTTTGAGTGTAGCCATAAAATTAAGAGCAGGAAACAGAAAATAAAATACGAAACGACCAAGGTGTAGGTTTAAAATAAACATCATGATTAGACTTTATTGAACACCCATAACATTACAAAAAGGGGCTATTTTACAAGTTCCTCAGTCGCCCAAAAGACCTTCCAGTCAAAAAGCAGTGTCTTAAGAAACAGGGCACTTCCCTCATACAAACAGCAGCTAAACTCCTGCCACGTCCTGACTAAACCCACACAAATACGAAACAGAACGAAGTTAAACGAACAAGCAACAATGACAAGCGACATTAACAAATACTTTATGGCTTTCCGCTCTCCTCCCTTTTTGGGTACATGAATGTTTGATTTCATGGCAGCATCATTTTTACATATGGTCTCGATGAAGGCTTCACGTGGTCTTTGCGTAACTTCGCTTTCATGCCGAACTCACGATGCCGAGCGTTATCGACACGGAGGTTCGGGCTGATGGGGACTGGGCCTGTACAGCTGCTGCAGTCGGACCGGTCTCACCGGCCACCCGGGTAACTGTCCTATTACTCTCAGGCCGACGGGCTGCCTGGGGCACGAGTGACGGGCACAAGGCCCTGAAACCTGCAGCTGGCCTGAGCGTGAGTCCAGAGAAGGTAGGACCGAAGCGGAGGAAGAGGAAAGCGGAAGCAGGATGGCCGGGGTCAGACCGTATCTGAGCTGGAAGACACGAGGAGGGCCGTGTGCGCTGATGCCGTTTGGCCGGGATTCCTTATGTTCCTCCTCCCTCTTCAGCTCCTCCTCCTGTTTCTTCGCTTTCCTGTCGGGTCTGTTGAGCTCCTGGAGCTTCTCGGCTTGAGCGCGGCGGATATGGTACGTCTTCCTGTGGCTTTGAAAAGAATCAAGGAATTCCTCCAGGGGCACGTGGCCCTCCATGAACTTCTCCAGCAACTCCTGTGAAGGTCAGATGACAAATAAACAGGCATTAGAGGACAGGAAGTCAAGCCGGATTCATAACAAGTGTGATGCAGACGCAAACATCCTCTTTCTGACTCATCGTCTTCCAAGACGATGTCAAAACCAAGTTGTGCTGTGAATTTCAACAACCAAATATGTTAAAAATGACTTTGGTGGCATAATCTCATGCAGTCCAATTGATTACATAATTTAAAGAAATATTTCTGCATTAAATAAACCCTGCTGGAAAAAAACAGCTTAGACCAGCCTATGGTGGTTTGCTGGTCTTAGCAGGTGTAAGATGGTCTTTGTCAGCCGAATGCCTTATGGTGCGTTCACACCAGACACGAAGCGAATATGCACATCGCGCCACTCGCTCTAGATTACTCGCGGCATGTTTTTCGTGTCACTCGCGCGAATAAAAACAGCGCGATCAACCATGGTGGAGATAACTACAATCGCTGTTTTGTACCTGTTGTCAAAAAGTCCCAAATACAATGGAAAGCCAAACGCCGACGTGTCTGGGTTCACAGCACCATCCAGAGGAGGATGAATAACGTTAGGATCCTGTATTAATGTGTGTGTTACATTTTACTACTGTATACAATGTGTTCACACCAAACGCGAATTGAATTATTCGCTTGAGTAGATTACATACAAAGTCAATGCAAAGACGCGAATAGAGGCGAATTCGCGCCAGGCGACGCGAATGACGCGAAATGCGCAACGCGTTTGCCGCGAACGCGAGATATGCGCATATTCGCTTCGTGTCTGGTGTGAACGCACCATTAGAAGTAATATATTTACCTGAAGTACCACCTGAAATTAATATTTCAATAATTCAAAAACATGTTTAAATGTTCAAGGTTCTCTGATATTGATTAATGGTCACATGACATGCAAGTAAACAGATCAAATACTGAATTGTTTTGTATTGTATTTATTTTTAAAATTATTCATATTTAGTGCCATACGACTAATTGTGATTCCACATTATAGTCACACCGGTGTTTTGGGAACTCAATACAACTGTATGTAATAATAATAACAATAATAATAATAATAATTATTATTATTATTATTACAGTATTAAATCGAAAAATAAAAAATTAATATTAGATAATAATTATAATAAAAATTATTTTATTTTATGCTACAAGTGGCAATACTAAAATTTAGACCCTTACTTCTTAAGTTCTTCATTTACAAACATTCAAACTTTTGAGTTTTTTTAAATTTCAAATCCTCTAACTTTTTTTTGTGTGTGTGTGTGTGTGTGTGTGTGTGTGTGTGTGTGTGTGTGGAATACTAGTGAAATTCTGAAAACCTCTGTCTACAAAAATGTTGGAAATTATGTAAATGTGTATATAAAATTAACCTTGCACATTCTGTGTTCCCAAATGTGTGTTAAACTCACAGCACATGCAGAGATGGAGTTGGCTGCATTTACTGTGAACCGAGCCGCTCTGAGACACTGAAAACACTGGATTATAAACTGTGCGTGTGTAGACCACAGTGCCACACTTCACTCTGAAACACGCAACGCATCAGACTACACACAAGACTACACACTTAAATTGCAGCCTTTCTTATGCTCATTGCACTAAGCTATATTATGATTTGCTTCAAGTTTGATTAATTGTGCAGCCCTACTTTCAGTTAATTAGTTAGTTACTTAGTTAGTTCGTTAGTTACCCCTGGTTTACTGCAATTAATTCTCCAGTCTGGCCAGCCTAAAAGTGCCTAAAACCTCTTAATTCATGAAAAAAAAAAAAAAATCAGCTAAGGAATGAACATTTTAAGGAAAATTTTTTAAGTTACCTGACAAAAATTATGTAGGGTTTAACAGACAAACATGATGTCTGCACAAATAATCACATAATAAATGTAGCATGACCCTGAAGTGTCTGTGGAACGCTCTGCTGGAAGGGGCAGGCGTCTACAGTCTGTCTGTCTCAGTACGGGGGACTGAATAATTGAGAAGTCTCGTCTGCACAAACCCACCCCCTTAATGTCCTCGCAGACAGAACAATAAAGTCTTTTAGGACACCACCCCTGGCAAACTACACATCAGTGTGAGACAATAACATGCAATGAGTAACTCTAACCCGGTACTGTTATTGTTAATCGAAAACTATTTAATTTGTTTTTGTTAATTGAAATAAAAACATGAAATGAAATAAAATATAAATATTAGATGAAAATCTTATACAAAAATTAGACATTTGCTTTGGCAACTTAAATATTTAAGTACTACAGTTACTAAAACTGAAAAAAAAGCTAATTGAAATATGAAAAAATAAACAAATAACAAAATTACTAAATCTTCAATTAAAAACAAAAACTAAAAATATTTAAATAGAAGCTAATTAAAATATGACTAAATACTATAACCATATAAATAATACTAAACACTCCTCTAATGACAAACAATAAAT